GGTTTTAATATTTTGCAGTGATGCTTTTTTTAACACTTTCCCCTGGACCAAAATGCATTTGTGAGAAAATGACTAAATCGCAGCACGAGTCCTACTAAGTTTTTACACACATCATTAAATTTAAGTATGTAAAAAGCTCCAGTATGGTTATTGGGATTACTTAAAAATGTGGTTGTATAGGGCAGCAGTTTTGAGGCTGTGTGATGGAGGAAGTTGTTACTGCTTACGAGGGGCTTCTCACCTAGTAAATTGAAAAAAATGTGTGCTTGTCAGGTGCAGGGATATCAATATGTGAAATCTTTCTTCATTTGGTTGTGCAGGTTTTGGTATTTGAAGTGCTTATCTTATTAAATCACATATGAATGTTACTGAGAAGTGGTTTTGCAAATTAATGTTGTAGGGGTTTGTTTAATAAAAATCGAATCTCACTGGAAGCTTGTGACACTTGTTGTAATAAAAAGATTATGGATAGCTCCTAATGGCTTTTAAAAGCTGTTTAATGTTGGTTGTGTCAAAGTAAGCAATTAGGGTAACTTAAGTCTACTTGATTATTCATCAAGTTCCTCTAGTAGTATTCCATACTTTTGCATCTGTGAAAATGTGCATCTTGAGAAGGCTGCTTCACCACTTCATAGCCCTCAGTACAGAGCACATGTATCTAATGAGGAAACCGAAGAAAGAAAATTTGATTATATGACAGTTTACTGGCCCAAAGCACAAGCAGACTGGAAATGAACACCCTTGTGTTGCTACAGCATGAGCTTCAAGGTAAAAAGAACACGTCTAAAAATGTAGTCATTTAAGGGAAGTTTGGTCAAATAAAATAGTATTAATGGATTAGACCTTACATAGTACTTACACTTTTCTGTTAAACTTGGGTTGGGTTGTTTTAAGGTTAGCTGATGCAGATAAGGTCTGCTGATTCTTCATTTCTGTGATGCAGAGAGGTGCTGCTGCATAATGCAATGTAGACTGGATAACGTTGGGCTACTTGGCTTGAAGGGCCAGAAGCAGAGAACTGCAGTGCTTTGAGACCTTGTTTAGTGTCAGTGGCAACTGCAACAACCTGGTGCCTCAGATTAAATTTTGGTCAGTAACTTGGAGCCCTCGTTCTGTCCAGAATAGTTAAGGTGGATGCAAAGCACGGCAGAGATAAAGAATGTCTCTTGCTTACCCTCAGCTGGCAGGGGAAAAAAATGTGTGGAATAGTACATAACTGCTGTGCAGCTCCAACATCAGGACCAGGTTATGTTCAGGGAGTGGATTTCTGGGGAACCCAGAACAGCGCTGGAGAATTATGTGCAAGCATGGGTCGTTCTACCACATGTAGTGGCTCTGTTTCCTGCTTCATACAACAGAGAGCAAGTGGGCAGCTTGGAATGACCTGTAACTGTGCGATTCTGTGTGGTCATAAAGTGACTAAATCTGCACCAATTTAGAAAAACATGGGCAGAAAGATCTCAGCTGTCCTCTTGAAATGAATATAGCTTCTGACAATGGAATGTGTTGTTTGCTCTGTGGTGTTGGTAATACAAAAGCAAACAGACTTTCTGCTAGCGTTCAGTCACTTTTTATAGAGTAGCATACTGATCCTTGGATGCTTGAGAAGTAATTTCAGTGTATATTACAAAACCCCGTTCAGCATTCTGTGTCAATGGCTGTGTTCTCTCTGCTGTTCCATTACGAAAAGAACAGGAAGGTAGATCAGCTTTGTGAATTTAGTACTGGATGTTATTAATAAATTAATACAAATTAACAAAGCTGAGATTCACATAATGGAAAGCGTTAAAGTAGCATTAATGCCTTTAGCTTTTGCAAACTGAGCAACCATAAGAGTGGTGGAAAGTGCTGCTGGCCTGACGGGAATTCACCTGGCCGCTCTCCCAGTCCCACTGTTTTCTCTCCCTCTGCGGGTGTGGGGGTGTGTTAGGGGATGGAAATCCATTGGTGATGTTCAGCCAGCATACCCCTCAGGATCCCTAACCGATTTGCTCACAAAGCCGGCACAACATTTCTATATCGCAGCAGAGCCAAGGGATAAAAAAAAGCTGAGAATCAGGGAGTCATAACTGGTTCTCTGATGCTCCACATTTTCTGTGCCAAACATATGTTGGTATAGAAGAAATTCTGATTCTAAATACCAAAGTGTGGGCAAGATTTAACTAAAGTTTTCTGTAAAAGAAACCAAAGCTCTAAACTGCTGCTATATTTTACTGCATCTGAGGTGTGTATGTGATCATATAAAAGGACTTCACCAGTGTGGAATGGTACTGTAGCTGCTTATAACAAGTGCTGATACAGTCCCAAGAGTAAAAATAAGGTTTGCCGTGTCTTCACAGGTAGCAGGCACTGTGTTCTGTTCCTAAGCATACATAAAATATTTCCACAGTTAAAGATCTGTTGACTCAAATGTGCAAAACCAGAAGTTTGAATTTCAAATTTACTAGTCGATGTTTGTTAGCAAGTCGATTGTTTTTGTCTGGAGCGTGAGAACTTTTTTCAGTTCCTGCAGAGCGTGTGTGTACCACTGAAGAAATTATTTAAATGTCTTCTGAATTAATAAATAACAGTGAACTTCGGTACTGTAAAAAAGCCCAGACAAGCAACAAAAAAACCCTTCTAACCAAAAACTGCTCGAGAATACTGTAAGGCTCTGTGGGCTGTTACAATGAAGTGTTTGCAGTGTTTATACTGGTATAGAGAAATAAGTATGTCCTAGCACCCTCTTCACACTTTATAGCCAAAAGTGTTTCTTAATTGTTTCTCAGTTCTGATGGAGCGCCTGGTCCTTGTGACAATTCGAGAGAAGCACGCAAACATGTCAAGGTTTTGGTCAGGGAAATCACTCCCCATGCAAGGTGCTACGTTTGACAAACTGAGTACAATTAAATGTTGCCTTTTTGGTAGCCTGTAATATTTTTGGAAGTTAGAAACACTGATGTGGATTGTTGCTCAGTTTTTCCCACGCTATTACCTGTGACGTTGTCTCCCCCCTGCAGGGTGACCCTCGGGGAGGAGTGACAGACTGCTACAGCGGTTGGATGTCCGGTTCTGTTTTGTCCTGTGGGATTGCTTGCTTGCTTTTTTGTGCCCTAGTTCTGTGAGAAAACTAGGACTAAGCCGAGTGAGGTGTGTGCATAAAATATGCAGACTGACTGACCTGAAACTTTCAAATTTGAAGCCCTGTACTTGTTTTATGTGGATGTTACAAATTGTCCAAGATGGGGAGTTACCTCTAGTTTTAACCTAACCCTTGAAGGCTGACAGATGTGTATGATCTATCAAACCTCTTTTTTCCCTGTGGTCTTTCGAGGCTAAATTTGAGGAGTTATGAACTGCTTCCCACGTGGTACCTTACCCTCTAGCACTGCTCGGGTACTTGTATTTATTTCTTTTATGTGGATGTTACAAATTGTCCAAGATGGGGAGTTACCTCTAGTTTTAACCTAACCCTTGAAGGCTGACAGATGTGTATGATCTATCAAACCTCTTTTTTCCCTGTGGTCTTTCGAGGCTAAATTTGAGGAGTTATGAACTGCTTCCCACGTGGTACCTTACCCTCTAGCACTGCTCGGGTACTTGTATTTATTTCATTCTTGATT